ACTAAAAAGAATCAGGAAGCTGAGATCTGAGGATCAAAGTTCAGCATCCTTTCTGTTGAGAAAAAGTCTGCAAGACTCTTAACCTCCAATTAACTAGCAAAAATCTGGAAACAGAGGTGTGGCTCAAGTGACAGAGCATTAGCCTTCAGCAAAAAAGCAAGTAAAATTGCAAAGGCCCTGAGTTCAAGCCCCAGTACCAGGAAAATAAATACATAAATAAATAAAAGTTCTTCAAATAATATTAACCTGTCAACAGGAGCAGTTTAGATCCATGATTAAGAACTTGAGTGCCAGGCACTGGTGGCTCACGCCTGTAATCCTAGCTACTCAGGAGGCTGAGATCTGAGGATCGCAGTTCAAAGCCAGCCCGGGCAGGAAAGACCGTGAGACTCCTATCTCCAATAAACCACCAGAAAACCGGAAGTGGCGCTGTAGCTCAAGTGGTAGAGCACTTGCCTTGAGCTGAAGAGCTGAGGGACAGCGCCCAGGCCCAGAGTTCAAGCCCCACGACCGACAAAAAAAAAAAGAAAAGAACTGGAGTATAATCTGAATTTAATTTGTAGTTCACCCACTTCAAAATTGACTGAGAACAAGTCAACTAACACCTAGACTCAACAATTCACTCAGTAGTAGTACCCACCTAGTATCAGACACCATTTTTGATGCATCAGTACAGAATCTCTACTCTGAGACCTTGTAATCTAAGTGAGACAGAAAATTTAAATTAGAGTAAGCCATGTGTTTATAGCAATAGTTAATCTAGTTAAGGTAGGTTTCACTGAGGTGACAACAAAAATCTAAAGACAATAGATAGATGCAGAGACGTGCTTCAGTTGAGGGATGACTGAACTGACTGAGATAAAAATGTTTCATTCTGGTGCTGGGAAGGTGGCTCAGTGGTAGAGTGCTTACCTTGCATGCATGAGGTCCTGGGTTTGATTCCTCAGCACCACATAAACAGAAAAGGCCAGAAGTGGCGCTGTGGCTCACGTGGTAGAGCAAGAGCACTAGCCTTGAGCTGAAGAGCTGATGGACAGCGCCCAGGCCGAGTTTAAGCACCATTACCGACAAAAAAAAAAAGTTTCATTCTTAGCCAGGTGCCAGTGGTTCACGCCTGAATCCTAGCTACTCAAGAGGCTGAGATCTGAGGATCATAGTTCAAAGCCAGCCCGGGCAGGAAAGTCCGTGAGACTCTTATCTCTAATAAGCCACCAGAAAACCAGAAGTGGCGCTGTGGCTCAAGTGGTAGAGCACCTGCCTTGAGTTGTGAGGAACAGCACCCAGGCTCAAAGTTCAAGCCCCATGACCACCACCACCACCAACAAAAATGTTCCATTCTTTGCAAGCAGGAAAAAGAAGTTAATGACACCAGGAGCTCAACATGAGAGGGGAGTGTTGAAAGTTTAAGGGAAAAGAAAAGAAAGCACCAGTATTGTAAAGTTGTAGAAAAATAAGTGATTAAGGCCGGGAAGGTGGCTCAGTGGTAGAGCACTTGCCTTGCATGCATGAGGCCCTGGATTTGATTCCTCAGCACCAAATAAGCAGAAAAAGCCAGAGTGGCGCTGTGGCTCAAGTGGTAGAGTGCTAGGCCTGAGCTGAAGAGCTGAGGGACAGTGCTCAGGCCCAGAGTTCAGGCCCCATAACTGCCCCCCCCCCCCCCAAAAAAAAAGTGATTAACTGATTTTATGTCTTGTTCTGTCCTCTTAAAAATGAGGCCTGAACTTTGGGCCTGGGTGCTGTCCCTCAGCTCTTGAGCTCAAGGTTAGCACTCTACCACTTGAGCTAAAGTGCCATTTCCAACTTTTTCTGCTTATGTGGTGCTGAGAAATCAAACCCAAAGCCTCATGCATGCAAGGCAAGCACTCTACCCCTGAGCCACCTTCCCAGCCCAAAAGTATTTTCTTAAGTGGAGATCATTTAAGGAACTTGTAGATTGTTTTTGTGTTTGCTTTCTGGCTTTGCTTTAATAAAAAAAAAAAAAACCAGGTGCCGGTGGCTCACGCCTGTAATCCTAGCTACTCAGGAAGCTAAGATCTGAGGATTCGGTTCAAAGCCAGCCCAGGCAGGAAAGTCCGTGAGGCTCTTATCTCCAATTAACCACCAGAAAACTGGAAGTGGTACTATGGGTCAAGTGATAAAGGGCACTTCTTGAGCTGAAGAGCTGAGGAATAGTGTCCAGGCCCAGAGTTCAAGCCCCAAAACCAACAATAAATAAGTTAATTAATTAAAATAAAGATTTTAATTAAAAAAGAAACTCTAGTAGAGCTGGGCACCAATGGTTCATTCTTGTCATTCTACTCAGGAGGCTTAGATCTGAGGATTGTGGTTCCAAGTCAGCTAGGGCAGGAAAGTCCGTGAGTCTCTTATCTCCAGTTAACCATGAAAAGCAGAAAGTGAATCTGTGACTCAAGTGATAAAGTGCTATACTAAAGCAAAAAAGCTCAGGGACTGAGCCCAGGCATTTCTACTGGTGACATTTTGCAGATGATATATAGACGTTCACATTAATATTCTCAAGTATTTTTTATTATTTGGAACAAAGTTAAATAGTATTCATATTAAAAATAACAAGTTAAAGCTGAGTGCTGCTGGCTCATACTTCGTAATACTGGCTACTCAAGAGGCTGAGCTCTGAGGACTGTAGTTTAAGGCCAGCCCAGGCAGGAAAGTCTGTGAGACTTTTATCTCCAATGGTTATCAAAAAGCTGGAAGTAGCCGGGTACCAATGGCTCATGTCTATAATCCTAGCAGAAGGCTGAGGTCTGAAGATCATAGTTCAAAGCCAGCCCTGAAAATGAAAGTCAATAAGACTCTTAGCTCTAATTAGCCTCCAGAAAACCGGAAGTGGCACTGTGGCTCAAGTGATAGAGCATTGTCCTTGAGCTGAATAGCTCAGGGACAGTGCCCAGGCCCCAGTTCAAGCCCCAGGACCAAAAAAAAAGGTTCTTCCTTCCAATGATCAATATAGTTAGGTTTAAGAATTAGATGTTCCTTTGCAATGGTTTGTACAGTTTGTAATTTGCCTTTTTGAGTAACTCTGGATGACTTTTGTATGACCACACTGCTGTTTTCAGAAATGATATTTTTAGGGATTGAAAATAACAAGAAGTTCTGGTAAACCTACCACTTGTCCTTAATGACTTGTGTAGCTAAATTCCTCTTTCCCAAAAAATAACTGAGAATACTCAGCCAGGACCATAAATATTAAATGGGTTTTTTTGTTGTTGTTAGGGAATGGTGTTTCCGTGCAGGCAATGACCCAGGACCTCTCCCATGTTGGGCAAGTACTTTACCATTGAGATACACCCCAGCCCTTAAGCGTTTTTATGCAAATCAGTAGCTATCTCAGAGTTCCTATCACTGGCTTAGCAGTTGGTTTGCTGTTACTACTGTTGTTTATTTGAGGTAGAGTTTCCTTAAGTAGTCCAGACTGGCCTTGTAAAACTGAGATTCACTTGCCTCTGCCTCACAGTACTTGGACTGCAGGCATGTACCACCACACCCAATTTACGCTGTTAGTGCTTTTTTAAAAAAATTGTTATTGTAAAGGTTATATAAAGAGGGGTTACAATTACCTAAGTCAGGTAAAATTACATTTCTTTTTGGACAATGTCACCCCTTCCTTCCCTCTCTCCCAGTCTTCCCCTCCTGTGCCATCCACATGTTGTATAGTTTATTTTCTTTTTCTTCTTCTTTTTTTTTCTTTGTCAGTTGTGGGGTTTGAATTTGGGGCCTGGACACTGTCCCTGAGCTCTTTTGCTCAAGGCTAAAGCTGTACCACTTTGAGACACAGTGCCACTTTCAGTTCTCTGGTGGTTAATTGGAGATCAGTGTCTCACAGACTTTCCTGACTAAGCTGACTTTGAACCATGATGCTCAGATCCCAGCCTCCCAAGTAGCTAGGATTACAGGCATGAGCCACCAGAATATGGCAGTTCGTTTTCAACCTGTCTGCTGAATTTGTCCACCCTTTGTCCCTCCATTTCTGTCCCCCCTTACCCTCTCAAAGACAGATAAAGGAACACACAAGACAAAAAGAAAAATGAAAACAGTAAAGAAGAAAAAAAACCTTGTTTCCATTTCCTGGAGTTCATTTCAATTATCAATGCACAAAGGCACTGTGCATTGATGTTCCTCTCCTAAGAGTATTCTCCTTTGGTCTAATTGTGTGTGAGTACCTGGAGTCCTATATAATTTATCATGTCCAGGTGTATTTTAGATCTAGCTTCCACATATGAAAGAAAACATCTAGGGGCTGGGAAGGTGGCTCAGTGGTAGAGCGCTTACCTTGCATACATGAGGCCCTGGGTTCGATTCCTCAGCACCACATAAGCAAAAAGAAAAAAAGCCAGAAGTGGCGCTGTGGCTCAAGTGGTAGAGTGCTAGCCTTGAGCTGAAGAGCTGAGGGACAGTGCCCAGGCCCAGAGTTCAGGCCCCATGACTGCACCCAAAAAAAAAAAAAAGAAAGAAAACATCTGTGAGTGCCTTTTAACTTATTATCTGTTGTTTAAATTACAGAATGTTTGGGCTTTTTTGGGTGTGTGAATGTGTATAAATGAGCAAACCTTTTTTTTTTTTTTTTTTGGGGTCCGGTCATGGGGCCTGAACTCTGGGTCTGGGCACTGTCCCTCAGCTCTTCAGCTCAAGGCTAGCGCTCTACCACCTGAGGCACAGCACCACTTCCAGCTTTTTTTTTCTGCTTATGTGGTGCTGAGGAATCGAACCCAGGGCCTCAGGCATGCAAGGCAAGCACTCTACCACTGAGCCACCTTCCCAGCCCATGAGCAAACCTTTCATAACAAGATCAGTGCCCATTTGCTTTTCAATGTTTCTAAACTACAATTGGTTGAAAGTGATTCAACTTTTGGCTTTTCTTGTCCACTAAAAATTTTTGGAAAAAAAATATTGTTGTATTTAGCCTCTCTTAGTTGTCTTTTACTTCTTTACACAAGGTTCTCTATTATTTGATTAGAAGGTAATAAAGTTCAAAGCATATCAAATTGAAATTTTAACTTTATTGTTTTCCTATGTCGAAAATAATTCATATTCATTACATAATGTAAGGAGGCTACAAACGGCATACAGGAATTGACTTAGAAATTGCTTATTATCCCATACAGGCAAAATGGCTAAGATTCTGGCATAGCTCCATTCACCAGCTTTTTCCTATGTATTTTTTTAATATGATTCAGATACCCTACATATAAAATCTTATATCCAGGCTTTTCAATATAGCATAATATTATTTTTCTCATATTTGCTCTTTGTAAACATAATTTTAATGAAAGAATAACATCCTCTCATATAGCGATATGGTATGATTTATTTAAACACTCTCCTAAATAGCAGTTATGTAGAAAGGAGAGATGGTGGATCAGAGCTCACAGACATAGATAAGGCCACTGGCTTCCCAGAAAGGCTATTAGAGAGCACGGGGCAGGGGCAATGCTGAGGGCAGAGAAAAGACTCCACTCAGTAAGGAAGCAGCGAGAAGAAACTTATAGATCCTGGCCCAGCCGCTCTAGCTCGTCAAGGAGGAAGTCTATGTCAGCATGGGTCAGTGCTGGATTGGCCACAATCATTCGGAAGAAGTTGGCCCGGGTCCCATGAGGCTGGTAGCCAATCATCATGGAACCTTCCTTTACCATGCGCTCCTTGAGCACAGGAGCCACCTGTAGGAGCAATAGAGAGGGACCATTGCAGCCTGTCACCAGATGACAGGGTGGGGCTAGTTGTCTGGAACATTTGACTCCCAGAACTGCCTTGCCCTCTACCCAGTCACCTCCTGGAGGTTATATACACTGCTCAGACCCCCATTTATCTTTCCCTCCACATCCAACTACTTGGCCTTTTCTACTTCCTACCTCCAAGAAAGCGGAAGCAAGGAACATCTTTTTTTTGTCAGTTGTGGGGCTTGAACTCTGGGCCTGGGCGCTGGCCTTCAGCTCTTCAGCTCAAGGCTAGCGTTCTACCTCTTGAGCCACAGCACCATTCTACCTCTTGAGCCACAGCACCACTTCTAGTTTTCTGAGTGGCTTATTAGAGATAAGAGTATCAGGGACTTTCCTGCTTGGGCTGGCTTTGAACCACGATCCTCAGATCTCAGCCTCCTGAGTAGCTAGGATTACAGACGTGAGCCACTGGCACCCAGCAAACATCTTCTTTTAAATCCCTGGTTTTCTGATTCCCAACACTGCTTCACTCTAACTTCATCCTGATCACCTTCCCCGTCTCTTAATTCCTGTAAGATTTTTCACCTGTGCCACTTGATCTAGCATATAATTTATAGTCACTTAGACCAATAATTGGCTGCAAATAGATAACTCTTGTTTTCTATAATAACACCTTCATGAGGGCAAAACACTCATCCTTTCAAGGCATCTGCAGTATCCAGTAACAATCCATTCTTATGGATGAAGACATGACACATCTCATCTTTAGAAGGTGTATATGGATTTTCAGGGTTGCTTTGTTCCTAGCATCAGGGACAAAATTTCCTGATCTTTGCCTCTCGTCTCTGTCCAGGGCCTGAGTTTCCAGTTCTAAAGTCTCTCTGCTATGACTAGTGTGTGCTACACCTATCCTTCTCTATTTCCTTCTTACTTCCCGGAAACATGCCTGAATGTTCCCTGGTCCCACTACACACACAAAAAGAGGACCAGGTCATGGTGTTTTTCAGTTGACAAGCCAAGTCAGGCTCAAGAGACCTGCACAGAGACCTGCCATGCCAATCATAGCCAGCAGGGGGCAGAAAGGCATCAGCTGCTCAGTTCTATGAACTGGGCTACCTAGAATCAAAGGGGACCTTGGATTCAACACCTACCTGAGCCAGTCTTTTGGTGTAATCTGGTCTCTCCTGCTTTCCCCGGAGGCTGGGAGGTACAAACCAGAAGCACACGTTGACAAACTCAGGCTGAGGAGAAAGAGAAACAGAAGGTGGGAGCTGAGGAAGGACATATATTTCTCCCTATAGGCCCTCTCTTCCTCCACCAGGCTTGCTATAGGGAACAGGTAGGGTCAGGGAGATGCTCAAGAGAACAAGGTCTTACCTCCATGACCAACTCAAAACCTTCCCGTTTCTTTATTTCCTCCACCAAGTACCTGGGCACAGAGGGGGAGAAACCACAGATGGAGGAGGAAAGGCAGAGACACGGTATCAGAAGAGACCCAGAGAGACACTGGGAGAGGGACAACCCTGAGATAAGAAGAAGAGAGAGGGGAGGGCTCTGAGAGGGGACTTGGGATCCCCACGCCTACCGGGCCAGGGCAAAGGCCTGGTCGATACGCCGCTCCAGCCCTTGCCCGCCCTGTGCCTTCCACATGAGCCACAGCTTCAGACAGTCCACACGGCGGCCACACTGCACCACCTTGTCTCCCGTGTCCAGAGCCACATCATAGAACTTGTCCTGCTGGAAGAGGTAGCTGGCCTGCGACCCGTGGCAGCGCTTGAGCAGGTTCTGTGTGGGGAAAGGCTGTCAGACATGGCTTTCCTCCAGAATGGCAAGGGCTGCTAGGTATTCCCAAAGCTCAGTCTAGTCTTTCCTTTCCCTGGAACCAGGCAGCATTGGAGGGATCAGTAAGTGACTCTTCCCACCTCTGCTCAGGACCCTTCTGACTACAACTGAAAATTGGAAATCTCATCCTTGGCCAAGATGGGAGACTGGAGGAATAAGGGAGCCCAGTACAAAAGTCGAGGTGGTTTTAGACATTAGGCCTCAAATGGGATGGTAAGGGAACACCTGTCCATGGTGGGATAGAGAAGGAGATAGGTCCAGAGAGAAGAACAGGCTGGGGGCTGGGGCAGACCCACCGAGGTGTCCCGGAGAAGAAGAGCAGAACACTGCAGGCCTGCAGCAAGGAGCTTGTGGGGGTTCCAGGCCACTGAGTCAGCCCTGGTGAGACACAGTAAAACCAGGTCAGAGACTCTGCAAGCTCTCCAGCTGAGCCTTCCTCCTCTTCCCCAGTGGAAGGGTTTCCTACCACAGGAGGAAAAAAAAAAAACCTAGGTCTGACCTCTCACTTCCAATCAACCACCTTTCCAGGCCCCATCCCACTCACCCCCATCCCCTCCCCATCCTAAGCTTTCTACTCTGTAGGTGAAGGATGAAGGATTTGAAGGGTGGGATTTGGGAAAGGGGGCCGTGTGCACCTCTGGATCCCATCCAGGAGATGCCTGTGCATCTGTGACAACAGGACACTTCCACCCCAGGCGGCCTGTGGAGCAGGAAAACAGCATGGGCCTTGGCCTCAGCTCAGCCCACCCCAACCCCCAGACCCAAGTCTCACTCACATCCACATGGAACCATAGTCCGTGACGCTGGCACACGTCAGCAATTGCATCCAGGGGGTCAAAGGCCCCCAGCACAGTGGTGCCGGAAGTGGCACTGACCAGGAATGGCACAGAACCCTGTTGCCAAAATGGAGAACAAGAAGCTACAGAGTTACTTCAAGAGCCACCTAGAGCCACCCAGGTGCTGAGGCCTAGCTTAAAGTTCTTACCATGCCTGACTTTAAAACCCTACTTAGCAACTGAGATTCAGAGATGCAAGCAGAGATGGAATTCAAACCTAAGACTGTGTGACTATTCCAAAACCCATACTCTTACAAAATATTTTACTGTCTTACTAGAAGACCCAAATGCTATCAAAAATAAGTTCAAACACTAACATGTGTACCAACAATGAATTAATAATTTTAAAAAATCTATCATGAGGGCTGGGAAGATGGCTCAGTGGTAGAGCGCTTGCCTTGCATGCATGAGGCCACGAGTTCGATTCCTTAGCACCACATAAGCAAAAAGAAAAAAAAGCTGGAAGTGGCGCTGTGGCTCAAGTGGTAGAGCGCTAGCCTTGAGCTGAAGAGCTGAGGGACAGCGCCCATGCCCAGAGTTCAGGCCCCACAACCGGACCCAAAAAAAAAAAATAATAAATCTATCACGAAGAAAAGCCCAGGCCCAGATGCCTTCACTGATAAATTCTATCCAACATTTATTTACTTTTATTTATTTATTTGTTTTTGCAGAACTGAGGACCAAACCCAGAGCCTTGGCACTTGTGCTGTTCGACTGTGCAAAATTCCTAATCATCTAACAAACATTATAAAAGCAACTGATACCAGCTCACAAATATTTCCAAAAGAGATAATATACAAAAATCCACTAAATTGGACTGAGAAGGTGGCTCAGTGGTAGAGTGCTTGCCTTGCATGCATGAGGTCCTGGGTGCAATTCCTCAGCACCATATAAGCAGAAAAAGCCAGAAATGGTGCTGTGGCTCAAGTGGTAGAACACTAGCCTTGAGCTAAAGAGCTGAGGGACAGTGTCCAAGCCTAGAGTTCAGGCCCCACAATTGACCAAAAAAAAAAAAAAATCCACTAAATTCCTCTATAATGAATAATAAGTAATCTGAAAATAAAATTAATATAATCTCATAAGAACATAAAAAAGAATTATTTAGGAAAAAGCTTTAAAAATATAAAACATGGGCTGGGAAGGTGGCTCAGTGGTAGAGCGCTTGCCTTGCATGCCTGAGGCCCTGGGTTCGATTCCTCAGCACCACATAAGCAAAAAAAGAAAAAAGCCGGAAGTGGTGCTGTGGCTCAAGTGGTAGAGTGCTAGCCTTGAGCTGAAGAGCTGAGGGACAGCGCCCAGGCCCAGAGTTCAGGCCCCACAACCGGACCCCCCCCCCCAAAAAAAAATATAAAACATATACTTTGCAAGTTGTAAGACATTGCAGAAATAACTTAAAGAACACTTAAATAAACAGAAAGACATTCCATGTTCATGGATCTACAGATCAAATCCCAGTCAACTTCTTTGAAAAAACTAACAAGCTGACTCTAAATTTATATGGAAAGCCAGAGACCCAGAATACACGCCCCCCCCCCCCAAAAAAAAGACAAAGTTAAAAGACTTGCATGACCCAATTACAGAGCTTCACAAAGCTACAGTGATGAAGGCAATGCCAACGACAGACTTGTAAATCAATGAATAGCATTGAAAACCCAAAATTAAACCCTTGCACTGTGACTAAATTGTCTGTTCTTTTCTAGAGATTAAACACAAGCATTGTATGTGCTAGGTGAATGCTCTACAACCGAACTCTATCCCAGCCCAGTTAACTGACTTTCAACAAGGATCTCAAATAATTGGTGATGGGATAACAAGATATCCACATACAAAAGAATGAAATTGAATATTTTTTCCACCTCAAACCTCAAATTCAACTCATAAAAGACTAATGATCTGGGGCTGGGAGGGTGGCTCAGTGGTAGAGCGCTTGCCTTGCATGCATGAGGCCCTGGGTTCGATTCCTCAGCACCACATAAGCAAAAAAGAAAAAAGCCAGACGTGGCACTGTGGCTCAAGTGATAGAGTGCTAGCCTTGAGCTGAAGAGCTGAGGGACAGTGCCCAGGCCCAGAGTTCAGGCCCCACGACCGGACACACACACACACAAAAAAAAAAAACCTCTTTTTTTTTTTTTTGGTACTGGGGCTTGAACTCTGGGCCGGGGTGCTACTCTGTGTTCTTTTGCTCAAGGTAAGCACTCTACCACTTGAGCCACAGTGCCATTTCTGGCTTTTTTGAATAGTTTTATTGGATATAAAGAGTCTCATGGACTTTCCCACCTGGGCTGCTGGCTTTGAACCACAATCCTCAGATCTCAGTCTCTTGAGTAACTAGGATTACAAGTACCTCTCTAATAAAAACTTTAAAAAATTAGGATGTAATTGGAAGTGGCCCTGTGGCTCAAGAGGTAGAGTGTTAGCCTTGAGCAAAAGAGGCTAAGGGACAGTGCCCAAGACCATAGTTCAAGCCCCACGGCTAACACACACACACACACACACACACACACACACACACACTCACACACATACACACACAGATTGGGATGCAGCTTAGTCATAGAAGTGACTTGTTCCCTAGCACCAAGAAAAAACAGTATTGTAGAAGATGTAGAGAAACTAGGACTCATACACCATTGTTTGAAACATAAAACTGGTACAGCCACTGAAAAACTTGTTCTAGGGCTTTATCAGGACCTTCTGCTCTGACTCAGCTTCCTTGATCATAACTGGAACTTTACTACTTGAGCCACACCGCCTGTCTAACATTCTGCTGGTTAATTGGAGATGGAGTCTCATAGACTCTGCCTGAACTGACTTTGAACTAAAGTCCTGAAGATCTCAGCCTGAACAGCTAGGATTGTGTGAGCCACCAATGCTCAACCTAAAAACTTTTTTTTATTAGTCATGGGACTTGAACTAGGATCTGGGCACTGTCCCAGAGTTCTTTTTACTCAAGGCTAACTCTACCACTTTGAGTCACAGTGCCACTTCCAGTTTTCTGGTGGTTAACTGGAAATAAGAATCTCACAGAGTTTCCTGCCTGGGTTGGCTTTGAACTGCAATTCTCAGATCTCAGCCTCCTCTGACATTTTTTAAAATTTACTTTATTATTACTATATAGGTGATATACAGAGGGGTTACATTTACATGAATCAGGTAATGAGTATATTTTCTTTCATACAGTTTTTTCTGTTCCCTCGTTCTCTTCTAGTCCCTCTCTCCCATCTCCACCCCTGAGTTGTATAGTTCACTTTCGTCAATGAGCTCAATGAGCTCTACTACTGTTTTTTTGTTGTTGTTGTTGTTTGCCAGTCCTGGGGCTTGAACTCAGGGCCTGGGCACTGTCCCTTGAGCTTCTTTTGCTCAAAGCTAGCACTCTACCACTTGAGCCACAGCACCATTTCTGGCCTTTTCTGTTTATGTGGTACTGAGGAATCAAAGCCAGGGATTCATGCATGCTAGGCAAGCACTCTACCACTAAGCCACATTCCCAGACCCTGAACTTCTTTTGCTCAAAGCTAGTACTCTATCACTTGAGCCACAGAGCCTCTTCCAGCGTTTCAGTCTATACAGTACTGAGGAATCAAACCCAAGGCTTCATGCATGCTAGGCAAGCACTCTACCACCAAGCCACATTCCCAGACCACCACTACTGTACTTTTTCACCCTTTTTCCTTCAAGTTGTCTGGCACCCAAATTTTTATGTGTTGAAATTTAGTTCTCAAAGTAAGGTATTAAGAGGATAGAAACTTAACTAACAGGCAATTAGGCTTAGAAAGATCATCATGGTAGAGCCCCAATAATTGTTATGGTAGCTGTTATAAGAAAAAGAAGTGAGATGAGTAGAAACACACACATGTTCTCTATCTCTCACCATGCACCGCCATGAAGCTTTGCCAACAAGAATGTCATCACCATATTCAAACCTTGAACCTTGGACTAGAAGTGTAAGCCAAAATAAACCTCTTTTTGTAAATAGTCACCCAGCATCAGGTATTTTGTTATAGAAACTTAAAATGGACATAGCTAATACAAAGAGTGTTAAAGAGGTATTTGTTTTTTAATTTTTTTTTTTTTGGGTCCGGTCGTGGGGCCTGAACTCTGGGCCTGGGCGCTGTCCCTCAGCTCTTCAGTTCAAGGCTAGCACTCTACCACTTGAGCCATAGCACCACTTCCGGCTTTTTTCTTTTTGCTTATGTGGTGCTGGGGAATCGAACCCAGGGCCTCAGGCATGCAAGGCAAGCGCTCTACCACTGAGCCACCTTCCCAGCCCCTAAAACCCAATACGTTTTTTTTTTTTGGGGGGGGGGGGGCCGGTCGTGGGGCCTGAACTCTGGGCCTGGGCACTGTCCCTCAGCTCTTCAGCTCAAGGCTAGCGCTCTACCACTTGAGCCACAGTGTCACTTCCAGCTTTTTTCTTTTCACTTATGTGGTGCTAAGGAATTGAACCCAGGGCCTCAGGCATGCAAGGCAAGCACTCTACCATTGAGCCACCTTCCCAGCCCCTAAAGAGGTATTTGTAAACCAGTGTTCACAGCAGCATTATTCACAGCAGCTAAATGTGAAAACAATCCAAATATTCACTGATGGATGAATGGATAAGCAAGATGTAGTACATATACAAAATGGAAATAAAATCTCATTAAAAGACCCCTTTGGGGGGGGACACACTCTATATCTAATCTATATAGTACCCTGGGTCCCTCTCAGGGCATTACTGTAGTAATAACTTTTGGTTATCACTATAAATAGTGCAATATGAAATAGTTCCTTACACTTCCAAATGCTACTTTGATGACTGGGAAAGTGAAGTGGGTAGCAATACCAGCCTCAAGAAAGTTCCCCTAGCCAGGTGCCAGTGGCTCATTCCTGTAATCCTAGCTACACAGGAGGCTGAAATCTGAGGATCACAATTCAAAGCCAGCCTGGGCAGGAAAGTCTGAGACTCTTACTTCTAATAAACCACTAGAAAACTGGAGGTGGCACTGTGGCTCAAGTGGTAGAACACTTGCCTTGAGCTGAAGAGCTGAGGGACAGTGCCCAGGCCCAGAGTTCAGCCCCATGACTGATCACAGGAAAGCAAGAAAGCAAGCAAGAAAGAAAGGAAGTTCCCTAAATAAGGAAAGGAGAGGAAACATTCCAGGAAAAGAAGAGAAGTTATTGCAGCTCCATATCTTCAAGTCCACATAGTCCTGACCCCAGTGAAGGATATTCTTGTTAATCTGTAATACCCCCACCTAGTTAATGTATTCTCTCCCCGACTAACTCTCAACTATCACTTTAGTGGGAAACCCTCCCTATTTCCTCACCTCCTATCGAATCCCCTGTATTACACCTGCAAAGAGTACATATGCACTGTTTTACATATATTTGTGAAGAGCAGTCTTCTTACTAGAATAAAGATGGTATGAAAATAAAATGAGCAAAAACTTCAAATAGGTATTTCCAGTGTAGAAAAGACAATACACAATGCCCATAAGTACATGATAAGATTTTCAACATCATTAATCATCAAGGAAATGTGAAACAAAATTGTAATTAGAAACCACTTTGCACCACTAAGTAGTTCTACTCCATAGAGATAATATCAATTGTTGGTAAGTGGGTGGAGAAATAGAACCACCATATCCTGCAGAGACTGTAAACAGGTGCAGTTTGAAAACAGTCTAGCAAATTCCTAAAGCTCAAATGCAAACTTATCATATGACCTAGTAGTAATTCCATTGCTAAATACATAATGAAGAAAAACAAAAAAGCATGTTCACACAAAAGCCTAAACACAGGGGGCTGGGAAGGTGGCTCAGTGGTAGAGTGCTTGCCTTGCATGCCTGAGGCCTTGGGTTCAATTCCTCAGCACCACATAAGCAAAAAGAAAAAAGCCGGAAGTGGCGCTGTGGCTCAAGTGGTAGAGTGCTAGCCTTGAGCTGAAGAGCTGAGGGACAGTGCCCAGGCCCAGAGTTCAGGCCCCACAATGGGACCCAAAAAACAACAACAAAACAAAACAAAAGCCTAAACCAGTGGCTCACACCTACAATACTAGCCATTCAGGAGGTTCAGATCTGAGGATTGTGGCTTAAAACCATCCTGGTCAGGAAAGTCCATTACATTCTTATCCCTGTTAACGAGCAAACAGCCAAAAGTAGAGCTGTTGCTTAAGTGGTAGAGCGCCAGCCTTGAGCAAAAAAAGCTAAGGGACAGTACCTAGGCTCTGAGTTCAAACCCCCAAAAGGAGGGAGAGAGGGAAGAAGGAAAAGCCTGCACATAGATGTGAAAGGCTGTACTGTTCATGACAGCCAAAAGTAGAAACAACTCAAACGGCCATCAACTGGTAAAAGGATAAATAACATGCTGTATAATGGAATGTTACTGATTATAAAAAGGAATGAAACAGTACTGGTAAATAAGACAAGATGCTGAACCTTGAAGGCATTATGTTAGGAAAAAGAAACTCTTCACAAAAGATCGTATATAGTATGTTTCTAGAACCCAAAATAAGCAAACCCATAGACACATTACACTGATTATTAATTCTAGGTTTGAGAGTGATGGCCAAAAGATTTAAGATTTGTTTTGTGCCAGGCGCCGATGACTCACGCCTGTAATCCTAGCTACTCAGAAGGCTGAGATCTGAGGATCGCAGTTCAAAGCCAGCCCGGGCAGGAAAGTCTGTGAAACTCTTATCTCCAATAAACCACTAGAAAACCGGAAGTGGCGCTGTAGCTCAAGTGGTAGAGCGCTCACCTTGAGCTAAAGAGCTGAGGGACAGCGCCCAGGCCCAGAGTTCAAGCCCCACAACCAAAAAAAAAAAAAAAAAAAAGATTTGTTTTGCGAGTCAAGGAAGTGTTCTAAATTAATTATAGTGATGATTATTCAGTTCTGTAAATATGCTAAAACCCACTAAAATGTATACTTTAAGAGAGTGGTCATATCAATTCTTTCTCAATAAAGATATTAACCACACAGAGTTTATGTAATAAATAGTGGATCTCCACTGTTATGCTTACTGCTCATTCTGACACTCAAAGGAAACAACTATACATTAGTAAATATATATTTTTCTAAATAACAACAATAGGCTCATAGTACCCTTCTACACTGTAACTTTTTTTTTTTTTTTTTGTCGGTCGTGGGGCCTGAACTCTGGGCCTGGGCGCTGTCCCTCAGCTCTTCAGCTCAAGGCTAGCGCTCTACCACTTGAACCACAACACCATTTCTGACTTTTTTTTTCTGCTTATGTGGTGCTGAGGAATCAAACCCAGGCCTCATGCATGCAAGGCAAGCACTCTACCACTGAGCCACCTTTCCAGCCCCTATACTGTAACTTTTAGTATATATTATATATAATAGAAGTGTGTTTTCATATATAACCCTATTCTTTTAAATGTCTACATAGTACTCTATAAAAGTAATACTAAAATAATAACAGGGCTGGGAAGGTTGCTCAGTGGTAGAGTGCTTGCCTAGCATGCATGAAGCCCTGGGTTCGAATTCTCAGTACTACATACACAGAAAAAGCTGGAAGTAGCACTGTGTTCTAGCCTTCAGGGACAGTGCCCAGACCCTGAGTTCAAGCCCCAGGAATGACAAAACAATAATAACAACAACAACAACAGTTAGGTGTGGTAGTATACACCTGTGATCCTAGCACTTAGATAGCTCAAGTAGGATTGTGGTTTTTTTTTTTTTTTGTTTTTTTTTTTGGGGGGGGTGTCTGGTTATGGAGCCTGAACTCTGGGCCTGGGCACTGTCCCTCAGCTCTTCAGCTCAAGGCTAGCACTCTACCACTTGAGCCACAGTGCCACTTCCGGCTTTTTTTTTTCTGCTTATGTGGTATTGAGGAATCGAACCCAGGGTCTCCTGCATGCAAGGCAAGTGCTCTACCACTAAGCCACCTTCCCAGCCCAAAGATTGTGAATTTGAAGCCAATTTGGGTTATACAAGGAGTTTAAGGCCAGCCTGAGTGGCACAGCAAAACCTTGTTTCAACAATGATAGTAACAATGACATCACATAGCAGCTAATGTTGAGGTAGAACACCTACCAGCCAGGCCCTGTTCTAAGTGCTTTGTATAGTAATTCAGTTAATCCTTAGAGCCACGTTGTATGGTAAATTCTGTAGTATGTTTTTTTGTTCCCTTAGTACTGGGGACTGAACCTAGGGCCCTATGCTTGCAAGGCCAGTGCTCTACCACTTGAGCTCCTCTCCCAGCCCTTTTATGGTTATTTTTATTTATTTTTTGGAGGGGAAGGTCAGTTGTAGGGCTTGAACTCTGAGCCTGGGCACTTTTCTCTAAACGCTTCAGCTCAAGGTGAGCGCTCTACCACTTGAGCCACAGTACCACTTCCGATTTTCTGGTGGTTAGCTGGAGATAAGATTCTCACAGACTTTCCTGCCTGGGCTGGCTTTGAACCTCGATCCTCAGATCTCAGCCTCCTGAGTAGCTAGGATGACAGGCGTGAGCCATGAGGCCCGGCTTTATTTTGTATTTGAGACAGATTATTAGTAACTTTATACCTGGGCTGGCCTCAAACTCATATCCTTCTGCCTCTGCCTCTGACTCCTTGTGTAATGGGATTACAGGTGTAAATCACCAAATTCAAGCCATTTTATACATAGAAAAACTGTGACACAGATATGCCATAATTTATTTTATCTAACACATTCTAATTTTTTTAAATTTTGTACTTTGTTACAGGAAATGTTCTCATGCACAGAATTCTAAGCAGCTGTGATGATTCATAGCATAATATTTTTTGGGGGGATCAGTCATGGGGCTTGAACTCTGGGTCTGAATACTGTTCCTCAGCTCTTCAGCTCAAGCCTAGCACTCTTCCACTTGAGTCATTGTGCCACTTCCAGTTTTCTGAATGGTTTACTGGAGATAAGAGTCTCACAGACTTTCCTGCCTGGGCTGGCTTTGAACCACAATCCTCAGATCTCAGCCTCCTAAGTAGCTAGGATTACAGGTGTGAGCCACCGGCACCCAGCTCATAGCACAAATTCTGAACAGTGGAACTCAGAATTAGTAGGCAATATATTTAAGAATTGCATACATAGGGCCAAAACGCCCTCCCAGGTGGCTGCAGTAGTTTGAGCACTAGTATTGCCACCTTTGCTTCTACAGCCTGCATCAGTCTCCACTGACCCTACATTCTCCTCAGCGTCTCTCTCTGTACTGACCTCCTAGCCCATAGAAACCTTCCACACTCTCTAACACTCTCTCTACATTCCTGCCTGGGACATTCTCAGCGACTCAGAATCCCATCCTTCCTATGTGTCTGCAAAGTCCCTGACAGCAATGAAGCGTCCTTCCCCATCAGGCTTCAGCCCATGGCAAGGCCAGCATGGAAGTTAAGGAGAGGCATTAGGGATGCCTCGAGAAGGGAGAGTCCAAGGGCGACATAATATCTCTACCCCTTGACCTCCCCAGGGGCCCCTCACTCACTTACCTCTGCTTCAGCCTGAAAGATCTGCCTCTCCAGATCCTCAGGGATCATTTTCCCTCTGAAAAAGAAAATCAAGTGAGTGAAGAAGTTAAAGATGCTCTAAGCCAGAAGGTATCCTGTTGAAAGCAGGGTTGGGTGGGTTAGTAATGCAGAGGCCATAATGCTGATTTTTGCCTAAGAGAGGTGAAAGAGACCTCAGCAAAAGGGCAGGAGGCAGGAGCGCAACTCTGCAGAATAGAGGAGAGAAATGCCTGAGGCCAGAGCTTTCTGCCAACAGGATGGCACACTGTGCCAAGCTGAATCAGGGCCATGTAGACAGGATAACCTTCACCTCTCATCAGCCTTGACCACTCGGACACTGTCAGTGCCAAGTCCCAGAAAAGCAGCTCCCTTGTTGATGGAGTAGTGACACTGTGGAGGAATGCAGACGGCAGGTTAGTGCAACCTGGGATAAGGGCCAGAAAGCAGGGAAGATGGGGTGGAGAGAGACAGATAGAAGTGAGCTGCAACAGATCAAACCCTGTAGGCCAGGGCTTCTTAAATGTTCGTATGTAGGAACTGCCTGGTGACTGATAAAACAGAGATAGAGGCTCAGTAGGCCTGAGGCTCTACATTTCTAATAAGCTCCCAGGTGATGTCAGTGCTGCCTGTCCATGGACCACCCTCCATGCATGGAGTGGACTATGTCCACTGCACTTGTTTTTTCTATTACGTCTCCAAGCATAAGGCAATTTGAACATGAGTGTGTACTTGGCCTCCTTGACTGGAAGGAAGCATATCTGCTTGGGGGCAGGGTAGAGCTGAAAGAGGATGGAAAGGGTCTCTGACTGAGCTGGCTAGAGATTAGAATCAGGAGCTCAGGGTTGAACCTGTGCCTCTTCCCCACCTCCTTTGATGTGAAGAGGGCCAAGGGTGGCAGTGCCCGGAGGCCCCTCTGCTTGCAGTCCGGGTAGCGCTGATAACGAGCCAGGTTCATGGCATACATGTTGGAGACAGAACCACCTGTCACAGGGAGGGGGTGCTGCATGAGGGATACATGGTGGCTCAAGACTGGAGCTCCCTTCTCCTGGCTCAAAGAACTGATCAAAGAAGCAGGTGGCTCCCAGCCATAAATTCCCAGGGCTCTACAAATGGCAAAAAGAACCCACAACAGCCCCAGAATAAACAGATCCTCCCAACTTCCCCCTCCACACTCTGGGCTGTACCCAGGAGACCCCCATCCCACAGCAGGCAATAAAGCATTGATCCCAGGGACTGTTAGCAAACACTATGATAAAGTAGATTGGGAAGCCTGGATAGCCCCAGTCCAGCTGGAGAGGAAATAAGGAGGAATCCTTAAAAGGCTTAAGAGTCACACATACACAGACACACAGACACACACACACACACACACACACACACACACACACACACACACACACACACACACACATACCAGGGCAGAAGACCCCATCACCAGAACTCCAGCCCACCAGGGCCCGGAGTTTCTTCAGCACTTCCTCTTCCATGAGCACAAACACAGGTGCAATCTCATACGTGTACCTGCCAAGAAAGCAGCAGTGAGAAAGGCACTGCCAGTCCAGATCTAAGCCAGAGGCATTAAAGACAAGAGGTAGTGAGATAGAGAAGGGGCCCAAGAAAGGAAGACACTGGTGACAACTAGGAAGCACAGAGGAGAAAACAACTGTTCTCAGGAAGCATGAGAAAGCTTGGAGAATGGCAGCCCAAAGGACAGGCAGGAAGTTGCTGTGCAACAGGCATGCCCAGAAAGTGATAAAGAGGAGCCAGAACCATTCTCCTCTCCTATCCCTAAGGCCCGGGAAACCTAAGTTGTTTGTATGACGGAGGGAGAGGCTCTAGGATGGCTCACTGGCTGGTGTTGAGGCTCTCAGTAATTATGCGCCCGGCCAGAGCATGGGGATCCAACCCTGAGAAGAGCTGGTTGAAGAATCGAGGGTGACCTAGAAAAGGGAGAGCAGGCAGGGACTCAGTATGGAGCTGGGTACAGCACCAGAGAATCCTGCCAGAACCCAAAGCGCACCAGTCTTGACGCTATAACGAATCACAGCCCTGCAGCGCTCCAGAATCTGTTCCTGTGATTCACCCTGGCTCTGCAGCTCCAAATCCAGCAGCTGCTTGAGCTCTTCAGGCTCCTTCCACTCACAGACCTAGGAGAAGAAGCCAGGACCCAGAGACCTTAGACTCTGTGGCTGCCCAGGCTACAGCGTTAAACACAAGATATCATCAACCTGCACTTAAAACAGTTTAACTATGTGTTCAAGGTATACATGAACAAAGTAAATAAATAAAATAAGACCCAGCATGCAAATTCCTAAGAAATGCAGGAGCAAGTGACTAAATGGGCAAATCCTCAGCAAAGGAATTAAGTTCTGAGCTAAGTTTGGGAAGAGAAAGGGAAGGCTTGATTGGCAGGAGGATGAAGGAGAAAGGGCTCACCTTTTCAGAGGCACTGGTCCCTTTCTGAATGGCCTCATCTATCACAATCCCAAACACACTTTGAAGTAAGGCCTCCATATCCATGGGGTCCCCATCCACAGCAGGTTTTGAGTCAGCCATCAGGATAAAATCTATAAGCAGAATGAGAATCATTTCCCACTTGGCCTGTGCACCCTTAAATACATCCAACCAGAAAGACCCTCTGCCCTGCAACCTGGCCTGCAACTCTTAAGTCCTGTGGCTTAGTCTGTCTTGCATGAAAAGAAAAGGGCAAGTGACAGTATCTAAGGAAAGAGCCAATGGGAACAAGCATGAGAAAAAAATTAGTTCTAAGAAGATGGAATAGTAGCTATCCACTTAAGGCAGAGAAAGCTTACCTTTCTGTTTAGGTCTCTGTTCAAGTGAGCTGGTAGCACAGTACACAGTGAGCTTTTCAGAATAGTAGGACCAAGACAGCGGAGGGAATGAGATCAAAAGAATGATCACATGGCCATGGCATAACTCTCATGACCCTTGCCCGACAGAGAACTTTCACAGATTTGGAACAGGGACAACAGGCTAAGTTCCATGAATAATCACTAGCTGGCAGAAGAAAGGGGGCAGGGGACAAGAAGAAAGGTAAAAGCCAGTAGTTCATTAACCTCAGGTTTGAGAGGAGCAGAGAGCCCTATGGAAGAATGCAAGAGGTGATTCCCATCATGAATACAAGAGTATGGATTGGGGGGCTGGGAAGGTAGCTCAGCGGTAGAGTGCATGCCTTGCAAGCATGAGGCCCTGGGTTCGATTCCTTAGCACCACATAAACAGAAAAAGCCAGAAGTGGCGCTGTGGCTCCAGTGGTAGAGAGCTAGCCTTGAGCTGAAGAGCTGAGGGACAGCACCCAGACCCAGAGTTCAGGCCCCATGACCAGCAAAAAAAAAAAAGAGTATGGATTGGGAGTGGGATGCTGGAGGGAGACAAGAACAGAGGCAGGCCATGAAACTGAGCGGGGATGGTGCTGGAGGCATGGAGGTAGAATGGATGAGACAGGCTCTAGACACCAGAGCCTTTTGTATCCCAACCCCAAAGTTTTTCATAACTGTCCTGGTTTCTTTTCTTTTTCTTTTTTTCTTTTTCTGTGCTGGTCCTGGGGCTTGAATTCAGGGCCTAGGCACTGTCCCTCAGCTTTCTATGCTCAAGGCTAGCCACAGCCCTACTTCTAACTTTTTGGTGCTTAATTGGAGATAAGTCTCACAAACTTTCCTGCCCAGGCTGGCTTTGAACTGTGATCCTCAGATCTCAGCCTCCTGAGTAGCTAGCATTACAGATGTGAACCACTAATGCCCAGCTGTTTTAGGATTCTTTTTCTTTGGGTTGGGAAATAGGGTTGATCTCAATATGCTGTAGGCCAGCCTGTCCCCACTCAAGATCCTCCTGTTTTATTCTCTCAAGTACCAAGAATATAGACATGTCCACCACACTTAGCTCTGTCCAGGTTCCTGAAGCCTTTTCTTAGAACAGGAAGGAATGGAAGTATGCTGAGGAAGTGTTTTGTTACACAAGCTGTCCAGGATAAGAATGAGAAAGCCCTTGCTTCAAAGGAGGACAAAGTACAGACATGCAACAGGGACAGTCCAGGGCATGGCTGGATGCTGACCTTCAGAGTCCTCGGAATTCAAGAAAGGAGACCTAAAGGCTGGAAAATGGAGAAGATCTGTAGCAAGATTCAAGCTCAGTCTCAAGAGTGACAGGAAAACATGAGACTAGAACAGGAAGAGAGGCATTGGAGAAAGAGAAGGAAGGACATGAACTTACATGGTGAGGGAACAGACCTAATCCTGAGGCCAGTGAAGGCACTGACTGGCTGGAATATAGGAGCAAATGCAGAGTAGGGGTAGGTGTGTGAGATTGTGACAAGTCTTTAGTGCCAGCCACGCCAAAGAATCTGAATTTTATCCTGTAGAAATGAGAAGTCAATGAAAGACTTCTTACTGAAAGACAAGAAATAATGTGATAAAACTGATGTTCCAGAAGACTAGTTTATAACAGCAGATAAAGGAAAATTACCAGAGCCGGGCGCTGGTGGCTGACGCCTGTAATCCTAGCTACTCAGGAGGCTGAGATCTGAGGATCGCGGTTCAAAGCCAGCCCGGGCAGGAAAGACCATGAGACTCCTATCTCCAATAAACCACCAGAAAACCGGAAGTGGCGTTGTAGCTCAAGTGGTAGAGCGCTCGCCTTGAGCTGAAGAGCTGAGGGACAGCACCCAGGCCCAGAGTTCAAGCCCCACGACCGACAAAAAAAAAAAAAAAAAAAGGAAAATTACCAGGCAAGAAGTGGTCCATATCTGAATAAGGATGGAGTAGATAGAAAAGGGCAGACAAGAACTCTCAAGCTTGATCATTCCCTAGATTACACTGAACTCAACACTTACAGGGTCTATGTTGGAGGAGAAGGTACAGTCAAAAATGATCTGGAATGGGTGACCAGAAAAATGGCACCTCTAAAACAAACAAGAAGAAACTGGATGGAAAGTAAACAGGTGATTTCTTGGAAATATTTATCCAAGTGGAGACTTCCTGGGATATTGGTATGGAGATATCAGACCTAGAGTTCTGACAGATGCTGAATGCAAAGCAAATTCAAGTGTCCAGTGACAGTTGAAGATATGTTTTGGCTCCTTTTCCCCAAGGTGTACAATGTTCAGAGGAATGACTGAGAAGAAGGACCGTACCCCCCCCCAAAAGAAATGTACTCATTACCTTGCTCATCTAATTGTACTCATTACCTTGCTCATCTAATTGTAACCCCTCTGTAAGGTATTTTCACAATTAAACAAACAAAAAAAAAAGATGCTGAGGGACAACATTCAGGCTCTGAGTTCAAGCCCCAGGAATATCACCAAAAAAAAAAAAAAATTAATACAGTGAAAAATCTAATTTCTATCTTATTGCACTCTCATTCACACAAGTAACAATTTTTTTCTATCTTTTTTTTTTTTGGGTCCGGTCATGGGGCCAGAACTCTGGGCCTGGGTCCTATCCCTCAGCTCTTCAGCTCAAGGCTAGCGCTCTACCACTTGAGCCACAGCGCCACTTCCAGCTTATGGGGTGCTGAGGAATCGAACCCAGGGCCTCATGCATGCAAGGAAAGCGCTCTACCACTGAGCTACCTTCCCAGTCCACAAGTAACAATTTTTAATGCTCCATTGGGGATCCTTTCAGAGTTTTTGTTTTGGTGGTACTGTGTTTTGAACTTGGGGCTTGACATTTGTTAAGCAAATGCTCTACCACTTGACGGTGTTAAGGGCCAGCCTCAGACAGAGATCTTCATACCTACTACTTACCACATAGTTGGGGCCACACATGTGACTAGGTTTATTTGTTAAGATGAAGAGTTTCACTAACTTTTTAGCCAGGCATGTCAACCACAAACCTCCTGATCTCTACCTTCTGAATAGCTGGGATTATAGGTATGTGCCACTGGCACCTGGCTCTTTCTGACTTTTTAATGCAAATACTAACAAACATGAACGTACTTATTTTCTTATTTTCTCCCTCTAATGTGAACTTATTTTCTACCTCTTCACACAAAAAGAAGTTCAGGTAATCTTTCTTTTGCATCTTCCTTCTTTCTCGGTTAACAAAATACAGACAATCTTATCATATGAGAACATTCAGAACTTCCTCATTTTTTAAAAAATATAACAGCTTTATTGAGATACAACTTGCATACCACAAAGCATATCTCTTTAAACTATATAATCCAATGGGCTTTGGTAAATTCATAAATGTGTATAATCATCACCACTGCCTAACTCCAGAACATTTTTCTCACCCCAATAACAAACTCATTAACGGTCCTTGCCTGGTTTTCCCACCTCTAACTCTGGCCACCATTAATCTGCTTTCCATCTCTATAGATCTGCCTACTCTGGACATTTCACTTAGTAAAAGGAATCATGTCATATGTGATCTTTTGTAACTGGCTAATTTTTTACTTGTCTTACAAAAATGTCTCAAGGTTCATGTAGCATATACCAGTACTTTCATTTTGAGGGGACAGAATATATCCATTTTTCTACATTTATAGCTCTTGGGCATTTCCACCATTTGTCTATTATGAACGTTCGGGTACAAGTTTTTGTGTGGACACCTGTTTTCAATTTTCCTAGGTACAAACCTGTTAGGGAACATGCTGAGTCATACAGTAACTATGTTTAAACTTTTTTTTTTGGCTGGATTTGAACTGAAGAGCCTCAAGGCTGCAAGTTAAGTGCTGTCATGCCTCCAACCCTATTTAACCTTTGAGCCTTTTTTTTTTCTTCTGCCAATCCTGGGGCTTGAACTCGGGACCTAAGCTCTGTCCCTGAGCTTCTTTTGTTCCAGCCTAGTGCTCTACCACTTGAGCCACAGCTCTACTTCTAGCATTTTTTTATTTTATAATTTTATTTATAATTTGTTTATTTATTTATTTATTTACTTTTGCTGGTCCTGGGGCTTGAAATCAGGGCCTGGGTACTATCCCTGAGCCTCTTTGTGCTCAAGAATAGTGCTCTACCACTTGAGCCACACACTTCCAACTTTTTTTCCTCTCTCCTTTTTTTTTTTTGGCTGGTCCTGTGCCTTGAACTCTGGGTCTGGGTGCTGTCCCTAAGCTCCTTTGGCTGAAGGCTAGCATTCCACCATTTGAGCCACAGCATCACTTACAGCTTTTTCTGTAATTAATTGGAGATAAGAGTCTCACAGACTTTCCTGCAAGTTCTGAACCGTGATCCTCAGATCTCAGCTTCCTGAGTAGCCACCAGTGCCCTACATTTTGGTCATTTAGTACAGGTAAGAGTCTCATGGACTTTTCTGCCTGGGCTGGCTTCAAACCATGATCCTCAGATCTCAGCCTCCTGAGTAGCTCGGATTACAGGAATAAACTCTGGCTTATATTTCTTGTTTCTGAGTTAAGGTCCTAAATTCATGGACTCAAGTGATCCTCCTGCTTCAGCTCCTGAGTCCTGGGACTATGGGCATGTAACAAAGCACTCTGCTTAACAAAAGTTTTGTTCTCTCTCATGGTTTATGCTTATGGTAGTGTCTGGCTCAGGTGGTTGTATTCCAAGCCCCAGACTGAAAGAGTAGTCCCTATCTGGGACACACTATTCTCATGATGGAAAGAAAAGAACAGAAAGCAGGAAGAAACATCTGCATGTGTGTGTCCATACATGCACATGCACTCGCTCTTCCCCCCTCCCTAAACTTCTGCTCAAACCTAGCATGTGGCAGCAGGGCACTGGTGGCTCACACCTGTAATCCTAGCTACTCAGGAGGCTGACATTTGAGGATTGCAGTTCAAAGCCAGCCCAGGGAGGAAAGTCTGTGTGACTCTTATCTCCAATAAACCACTCAGAAAACGGGAAGTGGCACAGTGGCTCAAGTGGTAGAGTGCTAGCCCTGAGCTGAAAAGCTGAGGGACAGCGTCCAGAGTCCAAGCCCCATGACCACCAACAACAACAACAACAAAAC